GGCGGGGAACCCGGCTGCGGGCTTGACACTTGGCGGTGACAGGCGCAGAGAGGGCCGCGCCGGGCCGCCCGGGCGGGCCCCAGGCGGGAAAAGCAGAAGGGTTGGCCCGTCGTGTTGGGGTTAAACAGAAAACCAGTGCGCCTCGGTGTAACAATAACAACAGTGTACGCTCCGCCCGGAGTATTTCACAGGCTATATGTGTCTAGGAGACGAGCAGAACCAGCCTCAGCCGCCTCTTTGCATCTAATAATAGTCAGTGCCGGTTCACTTGCTCAGAGTAGCGCTGTGCCATGGTCTGGAGTGAGAAGTGATGAGATCTTAGTCACTTAAAAAAAGATTAAAGTATGCGGGGTAGATTAAGAGTGAAATACGAAAAGAATTAATAAAAAAAGGAAGTTATGGTTAAATGCTAAGAGTAATTTTTATCATAATTCTTTTGCAGATTATGAAATTACTGTTACTTATTTTCTCAAAGTCTGGAGCAGAACCAAGTCTTCACAAGAATTTTTTACCAGTCACCTATGAAGCTCCGGATTTTGAAGTTGTACTTCTGCAATGAAGAAAAGGAGACGTCTCGCTGCAAATCTAAACGAGAAGGTTCATCTTGGCCATGAGAAGGATACTTCCGAACAGATTCTTGTAGTAGACTGTGCGCAAGAAATTATTTCAAAGTCTGCAGAAATAGCTCCTGCAGATCAGCTTGAATCTTCCCAAGAACTTTCACCATCATCAGAACAAAGAAAGCTCCTAAGCTCATTGCAGTATAACAAGAATTTACTTAAATACTTAAATGATGATAGGCAGAAGCATCCATCCTTTTGTGATTTACTCATAATCGTAGAAGGAAAAGAATTTAGTGCTCACAAAGTTGTAGTGGCTGTTGGGAGTAGTTATTTTCATGCCTGTTTGAGCAAAAATCCGAGCACTGATGTTGTCACATTAGATCACGTTACTCATTCTGTCTTTCAGCATTTGCTTGAGTTTCTCTACACCTCTGAATTTTTTGTATATAAAAATGAAATTCCGTTAGTGCTAGAGGCAGCAAAATTTTTAGATATCATAGATGCAGTGAAGTTACTAAATAATGAAAATGTTTCTAACATACAGACTGATGTGGTAACTGATGCACCTACATCAGTAGAAACACTAAGTGAACTGACAGGTAAACTATTAAATAGTCATCAGTGCACTTTTTGTGGTCGAAGTTTCTGTTACAAGAAGTCCTTAGAAAATCATCTGGCTAAAGCTCACAGATCCCTTTCACTGGAAAGAAAACATGGGTTAAAAATGGTTGAGAAGGCCAACTTTTCTACTAGACGTTCTATGAGAAACCGTAAATGTCCAGCTAAATTTGATAACAGTGACAATGAAAGTGGTGATGCCTCTGACAGCAATTTGGAAAAAGTCAGTTCTGACAAGGAAACATCTGATAGAAGTGAATTTGAAGACAGTGAAAGTGAATGCAATGCTGATGGGGAGGGGCAAGAAGAGGAAATGTCAGGTGAAGATTCAGAGTCTGAAGAACAAAGTGAAAAAGAGCAGAATGATACTGAAGAGGTTTCTGAGGCAGTTGATTCAGTGGGAAATGTTCCTGAAGGCTTAGCTCCAGTCATCATTCATAGCAGTAGCAAAAAACTACTGCAGTGTCCCAAGTGTGACAAAAAATTTGATCGAATAGGTAAGAGCAAGTTAGGTTGATCTCCTTCCATTTTACCATATGGTGGTGCTATTTGTATGGGAAATAAACAGCTTTTTCTCTGTTCTAGAGAGTGAAGATCAGAATTTCTGAATGGTCTCACAGATCCAGTATGCTGCTAATTTTTCTACATGTATTAAGTTGTTATGTCTGTGGTGATAAAACAGTTTCAATAAATGGAGTGCATTATTGGAAAATTCTACAAATAGTAAATTTATTTCTTACTGCTGTGGATTCTAGTTGTTAGCATGGTATGTAAAAGCAGCCTTGAAAAATGAGGAAAATACAGCAAGATGTTAAACAGTAAATTGCATGAAGTCTGAGACCTGTACTGTATTTTCTGCCAAATTAATTTTAAGTAACAAAGCTGTCATTACTGCTGTAGTAAAACAGCACCATTGTCAAACAGCCTGATGGTCTTCTATTCTATATGATGTGTAGATGCTTAGGACCTAATCTTTCTGACTTCTAGCTTGGTTTTTCTGGTCTGTGGTTAGCACCAAGTAATACTTCATGAGCTTAGTCTGTTTTGTTAGGATCATTTATGTTACTGTACACCTAGGTTAGACTGTTAGGATATTGAAAGACTAAAAATTCCAGTCCTGACCCATCCAATTCTTTCTTGCTCTCTTTTCCCACATTAAGAGTAAATTACTACTGTACTCCAGAATTTTTGTGTTCTTTCAGCTGGAATAAATGTTGCATTGTGGTCATGTAAGGTACTGACTTCCTTTCAATCATGGGCATTTGGAAAGGAACAGTTCCTCATAGCGTTAAGCATTTTTGATGTATAGATGCATTATGTCTTTCATAATTTTGAAATTTCTGAGTTTATGAAAATGGGGTGAGGCTGGTGTGTGTGTGTTTAATCCCTACTCACACAGCATGTTTAGCTTGCTGAGGTGAAATGAATTTTTCAAGGTCACAGATTATATTGTAGAAGCTATTTAAGATTAAAAATGTGGGACTTAACTGTACTTGTAATGCCATATCTTAAAATTAAATTAGCATGGGAAATTTTCTGAACTTGAGAGCTTTGTTGTTAATAGTGAAAGGCAGAAGTGCAGAAATAATGGCTTGTGAGTATTTAGGGTTGTAATGGTACATTTTGGTTTTGCATACGTTGGAAGCCTTTTTCTCTTTGCACTTTCATAACTTAGAATTTTAGTTTTGTGCTCAAAAAATACATGAGAAAGCATTAAAACAAGTGATACATAAATTATCTTTATAACTTTGTATTATGCTAGATAATTGACTCGTATTTCAAATTTATGAGCTATAGTACTTTTTTTTCCCTTTATCTAACTCGCAGAAGTAGTATGCATATTCTACAGAGAAAAATAAATGATCTAGTACACTGCAGAGAGCCTGCTATTGACTTGAGGTAGTTTGATCCTTGGTATAGGACACAATTCTATCCTCAGAAAAAACCTGACAAACAAAAGAGGGAATACAAGCAGTGTGAAAGAAATATCTTGGGTCTCAAATACAGATCATTTGCAGGGGTCTGTATCTTTCGTTCGGTGTTTTGTTGTTTGAAAGTACCTTGAAAATACCAGTTTGTTGCAAGGCTGTTCCCTGTTCTGGAAATGTATGTCACAATCAGTGTAATGAAAGAGTAGCAGTATAACAGTACTTAAGAACAGAGTATGCTGTAGGATTGAACAAGAGGGACTCGTAAACCTCACAAAGATTTAACAGTAATACAGAGCTCTTATTTTTTAAAAATAGTTAACGTGGAAGTGTATGGTGGAACCTTGGATCCAATGCATATGCGACCACTGTGCAGTTTTCAGTGCTGTAAACCAGTAGAAATCTTTAGATGTCTGTGGAATGTTTGGAAACAGCCCAATTGATCTTGACCACATTTGAGAGAGATACTACAGAACAAAACCCAAATGTGTATATTGTAGGTGTTACCTGCTACAGTTCATGTTAACAGATTTTGTTGCTGTTGTTCTGCAGGCAAATATGAGAGCCATACACGGGTACACACGGGTGAGAAGCCTTTTGAGTGTGATATATGTCATCAGCGCTATTCCACAAAATCCAACCTGACAGTGCACAGAAAGAAACACTCTACTGATACTGACTTTCATAAAAAGGAACACAAATGTCCCTACTGCAATAAGCTGCATGCAAGCAAAAAGACTTTAGCAAAGCATGTGAAGAGGTAAGTATGAGCAAATTTGTCTTGCATTTGTGAAGAATTTTTTTTTTCAGTTCAAAAGCGAAGATAAATGTGGGTACGCACGCAGCATATTCTGCATTATTTCTATAACTGTTTTTTCAAATAAGTACCTTTTCAAAGGACATGGGGAATAGCAGGATGAACTAACTGCCGTAAGAAGTGCACAGGGACTGACTAAATACCAATAGCAGTTCTGGGAGAGTTCTGCCATGTGTTATAGTATAAATTTTAGAATGATCAGATTAGCTAGCACAGTCAGTCAGAACACAACAGTCTTAATAATTACCTGTGTTGCTTTTCATTTGGAGGAAGAAGAAAATATCTTCTTTGGGTTTAGATTTTGATGCTATACTGTTGATGAGAATAGGTGGATAAACCATTTCCATGCATATTCTTTTAGGTGAATAATTTGTTTATGACAGGTCTAATTACAAGGTATTATTATTTATCTGCCACTTTTTTACTCTTTATTTGTAAATATCCATAAAGCATTATAATTGAAATTGTTTTCTGTCTTACCAATTGTCATATGAGATTCTGCAGGAGTCTATAGTCAAACACTGCTTTCCAGTACTTGTGCCTTCAGAATTGTTTAATTACTCTGTTCTGCTAGTTTGGTGATCAACTTTCATGACAGATTAAATTTAGAAATGGATATTTAGTATTCCGTTGATTGTCATCTTAGAAAGTTATAACTACTTTCAGTTTCTATCTTTTCTCCTAGGTTTCATCCAGAGAATGTACAAGAATTTCTTTCTATCAAGAAGACAAAGAGTGAAGGTTGGAAATGTGATGTAAGTACTTTAGTACTTTTGGTTTTTTCATATAGATACTATGTTTTATGAACACTTAAGTGAAAATGTGGTATGTGTTTCTGTGAAATCTCAGTAAGCTTTGTAAGTGATGGCAGAAATTTTCTCTCTCTGTGTTGATTTAGAGACTGAACTTTATCTGTATGTACAGCTTGTGACCAGGTAGATAATACCAAACTGAATTCTAAAATAGTTGAAGGCAGAATTTTTTAATGTGATCAGT